GGGTATCTGTTATGATTTTAATCTATTTTTACATGATTTCCAAAACCAAAGTAGAATCAGGTGAGCGACACAGGCTCTTGAGAGCTTCTAGTTTGTATTGGGAATGTTGTTTTCTTAAATTGCAAGTTTATGGAAATATGTACAGCTTTATACTTATCTGAAATCTTAGTTGTCTGCGTTAAAGCCACCTGTTTCTTTTTGATTGTCTGCTGTCAGATGTTTAAAATATAAATAAAAAGTTAACACAGAATTGCACATATCTGCAATCTACATCCCAACACTTTGTCGAACAACACACTGTTAAAAATAAGGAGATGTGGTATGGTTGCCAATGAGACAACTATCCACCAAAGTTCAAATGAAGTGGATGTAAGCAATTATAGGCAACCATATGCCTTCAACAATGAGAAAAACCCGTACCGTATGTATATCAACTTTATATTTCCAAAGGCAAAATTAATTCAAAGATTTATAAAGCTTTTATTAATCTAAAAGTTTACATACCATTTTTAAATCGTCATCTGTTGTGTCAAGGCTAACAATATATATTGATACGACCGCAGCTCTCGAACATTGAACAATTGGGGCAAGTATGGACACTACATTTAAGCTTGATACACCTCTTAATTTGGATTGTGATTAAATATTTGACACAGCATAGGTTTCTGACACAGAATGAATGTGGTCAAAGAACTTTCAGAAGTTTCAGCTGTAATTGGTAGGAAACCTTTTATTAATTTAATCAACAGATGGACATATGTCTATTTTAATTTTCTACAATAGGAAATCATTTAAATACATGTTAATAATCTTAAAATAGAACAATGCATGAACAATAATCAGTAAAATTAATATTTTTGAATGGGCGAAGTTCTAAGTAACGTTTGAATATAAAATGACAGCTTCTCATTTGCATATAACCTCAAAGATAAGACATAAATTATAAGCTACAACATTGTAAGGGAGGTCACTCTTAATGTAAAAAAAAACAAATGAAATTGAACAAATATCAGCTATTCAGCATAGCAAAAAAACCACCATTCAATTTTAGTTGAAATCAAACAAAGTTTTATTTTGGACCCTTTGGACCCTGATGTGGATCAATTTGAAAAATGGGCCCACAATCCAAAAATTAGATTTAGCATATTGAAATCAATTAAAGTTTAAATTTGCACCCTAATTTGGACCCACTTGAAAACACAGCCCAAAATCTAAATTCTAAATACACGGTATGATAAGGCATATCAAACAACCCCAATATTTCAAGATTATCTAAACTCCATTGAAATTGGTCAGAAATAAGCAATTCAAACAGATTGCTTATTTTTTACCCTTTTTGCCCCTAATTCCTTATCGGATACGGCCATAATCCTCAAATTCAATCCAACCTTCCTTTTGTGGTATGGAACCTTGTGGTACAATTTCATACAAATCAATACGTTTATACTCATGTTATTGTCTGGAAATAAGAAAAATGTTTGAATATGGCCCCTTTTGGGCCCAAAATTCTTTAACTATGTTAACCTTTCTTTTGTGGTATGGAACATTTTGGTACCATTTCATAGAGATCCATACACTTATACTGAAGTTGTTGTCTAGAAACCAAATGTCTTCTAACGACGCTGACATCGCCATACCATGATACTGCCACAAATGTTTCGGTCTTATAAAAAGGGGGGGTTCATTCCCCAACCCAATGTGATTCAGGCTAGGTTAACTGAGAGTCAGATAGACATCTATTCCATGAAAAAGGTATATATAATAAAAACGTTTGATACAGGATTTAAATATTCATCAGCAATTCATTCAAATTGTAGGAAATAAAAGCAAAAACAATTGAAGATTTGGAATTAATTTAATTATAAAGAAATGTAAATTACCCATCTTAATTAATAAAATACTACTAAAGCATATCCATGTTATATATTTTAAAAATAAAAAACCTCTTTAAAAAGCACAAATTCATTCATCCTAGAACGAAGTATTAAAATAATTTAAATGCACATAGTAAAATTTCCTGTTATCAATAAGTATGAAATATTGCAATTTCATTGCTCCACTCTTTCAGATGCTTTAATACAAATAAAAATACATTGAAATGTATATGGCACAAAAAAAGAAAAATGGAAATACTTTGAAAATATCAACAACGTTTTGCACAGAAATTAATGTGTTCAAATTTCAGCAAAAGTTATTTATCAAAACTGAAATGTATATATATATGGCACAAAAGAAAGAAAATGTAATTCAAGTATCTTTGTAATTTGTGTATAAAAGGTGGTGATTTCAATCATGTATGAGGGTCTAGATGGGGTCCTTCATTTCTGTATTCTTTAATTTTTTATGTCATTTGTCTATATTCTTTATAATTTTTGTCCATTATTCTCTATTCTTTATATTTTAGCACCCCACTATTCTCTATTCTTAATTGTTTTTCCCTATTTCCCTTTTCTTTTTATTTTTTGCCTATTATTCTGCAATTTTTGCCCATTATTTTCTATTCTGAAAACCCCATCAAGACCCTCATGTACAAAGTAATTAATAATGATGACCATTCAAAGTGAACTGTCTAAATGCCCAATTAACTCTTTTTATACATTAAATTTTGTATCGACAACCTTATCCTGAATTTGGCATTAAATACAATAGTACTGTGAATTCATTTATTTTAAAAATTGTAACTTTAGGTATTGATTACATGGTTTTGCTTTAAGAAAATTTAAATTCATTCCACATTTGAAATTTGTGGTTGAGGTATACCAACGGAAATTGGTATCCAACAAGTAATAATGAATCCACAGTATATGGCTGTAGCTGAGGGTGGTAAAGGGTTATTTTCGTGCAACGTGATCGCCGATTTTTATTTTACTTTCAACATGTTTTTACTTTTTTATTTGACGTTCAGTCGTGCAAGAGAGGTGCCTTATTCAACGTGTTCTGCTTATTTAATTTTACGTGCATCGTAATTTTCAAATGCTTATTTTGCGTGCTCGGTATTTTTAAAAAAAAATTCAAACACTTGGCAGGGATCGTCAAGAAATACTTTTTTAAAAGCCGTAAACCACTTATATCATAAATGTGTATACTTAATCGGGAATATCAAGTAAAACGGAGAGTTTATATATACAAGAAGAAAGTGACTCAGTTACAAAAGGTTCATATCAAAGTCTTTATTTTTTCGTGCAACATTCATGACAGAAATTATTTCACGTTCAACGTGAAATTATGTCTTATTTCACGTTTTTTCCGTGCAAGCACCCCCCCTTTACCACCCTCGTAGATTAATATGACAGGGGACACATGCATAGAAGGAGAGGTGTAATCTGTTGACCAACCTACCAGGCCACACTCAGCTTGGAATTCTAGTTATTAAATGTTTTAAGGTGGTACATAACACTACAGGGAGATAACTCTGTAAAATTAGCTGAATGTTTTAATAATGTTCTATTGTTAAGGAAATATTAAGCTTCTCAATGATCAAAATTAGTGTTTGTCAAACTGCTATATATCCAATGAAATTTTTCCAATAAAGTGTGTGGTTCAAGATTTTTGAAATTTTTATATTTTTATCAAAGGGTCAAAGTTAATATTTTGTCAAAATTTTATGAAAATTAAACGAGTCAAATTAATTTTAGTCAAGGTGTTTGGTACCACCTTAACTCCATTGTTCTCTCTGTTTATCATGAACGTGTGAGACATTAACAGACCATTGGAATACTATCTTTTTATTTACACAACTGAATCTTAATAAACCAGATGTTTGTTTGGCTTTGCTGACTTCATACTACACCACATCGTTGTATGAAGTAATCTGAGTCAAAAAGTTGATTTCAGTTAACATAGCTGTTAAGTTATTTTTTTTCAATGTTTCTTTTACAAAACCATTACCCAAAATTTATATGTTTTTTTGTAACAATCTTTTGCTGTTTTGTTTTATCATGTACAAAAAAGTTTTAAAAATGCTTGAGAACTTAACATACATAGAATACATAGACAAGAATGACAAATCTTATGGATAAGGGAGACAATTTACATTTTCTGTGAAGTGAACATTGTCAGACTAGAAATGTTAAAAATAACCGAACAAAAATTAAACATGTTAAAGTTAGAGGTAGAATAAAGAAATATAATGCATTTCACATATAAAATAATAAAAGTCATTCATACAAATATTCAGCAAAAGAAATCAACAGATCATTTATAAAACAGCACTTATGTCCAATAAGCAAATGTCTAGTCATTAATTCTGTAAGAATTTATCAGCAAACTACAAATTTTGGTTTAACATTTATCTGAGTTTAATATTAAACCACCAATTTTTCTAGTCAGATATTTAAAATAACTTTGTGATATAAAATTTTATATCTTAATTCAAAATAAAGGAAATTTAGTCTTTATGCTTATTTTTGAAATATACATGTACATTTTTGAAAAAACATAATTCTGATGGGCAAATGATACATTTTTTGATTTTTTAACAGGGAATGTAAGAATTAAATCCACATTTAATGAGTGAAATGGAAAGATGGAAAAACAAAAATTGTGAATTTCAAATAATGAAAAGAAATCCACACAAGAAAAAGGTCAATTGAACACCATATTCTACCAGCACTATCACATTTCAAAGTTCAATTATCCTTAAAATAGGGATCAAAACTGTAATTTTACATATAATTTTAAAAAGGTCACATCGTAATAAACATGTGCATTAAGTTTCAAGTTGATGTGACCATAATTCCATGGTAAACTTCCTTAACCAAAACTTTATCCACATATGGGACAGATGGACGCACAGACAAGAATCATTACATCCCCCTTCTAACAAAGGCGACACATAATAATCTATGTAAGTTTAAGGCAGAACTACAGTTCATTATTCCTTCCAATTTTTTTCTCCAAGGAGTAAGAAAAGTTGAGCATGTAAGAAGCAACAATTCTTTTTTCTAAAATTTTTTTTTTTAAAAGTCCATTCAATTTCTTTTTTTTTTTGGTGGGGGGGAGGGGGGGGGGGGATTAAAAAATCAGAGTCCCAAAGAAAATACACAAAAAAAATGATGAGATGTTTTGCACTCACTCTGTGTTCAAAACTACATTGAAAGTTACTTATAAAATGCAAATCAGAATGTGAATTTCTTTTTTCCAAGAGTACAACCCAGTTCATTTTTTCATAATTGCAATGGTATTTTCAAGTGTAGTATAAGACAAAACTAAATAAAACCCTGTCTACATATAAAGTGAATATATAAAATAATTTACAAATAGCACCATCAGAAACCAGTGCACTGAACTCATTTACAGTAAAATAATAAAGAAGAAATGAATTTATGACATCTTTTTACTTTTCCATATGAGAACTCCATCATTACCACTAAACTTCAGTTAATATTTCATGAACATATGAAAAGTATTTACTGGCTTTGGAAAGTTACCAGCATATTAAAAGTAGAAATTATTTATCTTTCTATCTAGAATTACTTAGTGAAGAAAAAGATGAATATACATAGGATTTCAACATATGTAGATTCAAGATTTCAGATTACATGATTTAAATATCAAATGATCTTTATTGAGCATGGCAATCCAGCAAGTTTTGATAATAAATAGTAATTTTTACACCTTCAAAAGGCAATATTGGGAACCTCTGCTCTTTTTCCCGATGATGAGGTTTGTCCTACTGATATTTCTGTTTTTGTTCTATAATTTATAGCACTTTATTATGAATCCATGACAACACTTTTGACATAATATTGGTTATTCCAAAACACTGCATTCTGGGAATCAAGTCTTAGTGACTGATTTCACAATAGAGATTTTCATTGTTTTTCTTAAATTTTAAAAAGATGTCATAAATATTCTTGTACAATCCAGCACTTATACAGATCTGTACACAAATAAAAAATGTATATACATTCAAGATATAAAAATATAAATTGATGGCAAGGGCAGCTGAAAAATTGTGGACTTCATTAATTACAACTATTTAATACCCGGAAATTCCTCAAAATGCTTGACAAAATAAATCCATTATCTAATACTGGCACTTCAACAAAAAAAGTGTCCTTTCAAGTAATACATTCTGGTAAATTTAATACATTGTATAATGGAATGTAATTTGTGTAAACGTTTAAATATGACATTTTTTGTTGTTGCTAAATTTTACTTTTTTGCATTCTGTTCAGTATATTCTATTAAAAATGCTATTCGAACATAATGCAAGTGTATAAAATATTACAGAATTTTGTTTTTGACCTTCTCAACATGGTTACATTTACTCCCCCCCCCAAAAAAAAAAATAAATCATAAAACAATAATATATAAATCATGTTAATTCTAAATTAAAAAAAGAACAAAAAAAAAGTTTTAAACTTAATCATGTTAATGCTAGAGAACAATGGATTCCAATATTTAATGAAAATATTAAATACTAAATTAGCCTGACAGACCATTAAAGTATAAAAATATAATTTACTTTTTTTTTAAAGACTCCATGCCCTTTTGTAGAAGTCCTGATCAATACTGAAAATTTATAAAGCTAATTCTTAAATGTAATTGTACATGCACTGCACATCACACAATATGAATTCAAAAAGCATACATGAATACACAAAATTTGATTTTAGATCTATATAAACAGATCAAAAATATTATCAATCTATGTAAAAGAATTTTACACAGAATTTTACTCATTAAATATAGATCTATATAAACAGACAAAAATATAATCAATCTATGTAAAAGAATTTTACAATGAATTTAACTCATTAAATATAATTCAAAACAAAAACATCTCTCTTGCATTTTAATCATTTTTGTACAACCTCTAACAAATCAGAAAATATTTTCAGAGATTACAATGAATAGATAAACAGATCTTATATTTAGCATGGTATACTGGCCAATCTTTGCTTTGCTTCACTAGGGCTAGGCATGGAGGAATTCATGTGTCCAGTTTTTAGTGCTGATCAGGAAACATGCTGCCATTTTTGAATAATGTAAACAATACATATATTGATCATGTTGTTTATAATTTAAATTTTAAATAATTGTTAAATATATTTTACTTAATTTTGTATATTCCTGTATCTTTAAGTTAATGTCCACAAATTGTGGCAAACTACATTTACTTATCCCATCCTATGTCTGCAAATTTACACTATCCCTCAATGCACCCCATTCTTACTTTCAAATGCAGATAAACATACCATATCCTACTTTGCCTAGCTCTACTATAAAGCATTGAACAAGAATCCTAGCCTAATTATATGAGAAAAATTATAGTATGGAATTATTTTGGCCTACACCTGAATAGTATTAACTATGACTATATAATCAATTTTACCAATTTTTCATATTTTGACCCCAAAAATCTACTTTTATAATTCAGCTAATTTCTACAATCAGTATAAATATAAAGTACCCTACGATAATTTAGCACAATGTCTAAATGATTGCCAAGTTTTTGCTGTTTTCAGAAAAAAGTGCATGATGGGGTTTTTTGGTCTTTACAAAAATACATTGCAAAGTTTATGATTGATTGATGTTTGCATTAGGCCGCATCAGTGCAAAAAGGCTATATCACAGCAATGCAAATTTAAGAAAAACCAATGGTTCTTCTCATCAAGAAATCCTTCCACATTGACAATCTCCTTCCCCCAAAAAATCCCACCATACAGCAATTTTTGAAATTCTATTTTTTATTTTGTCTTTATTCATCATTTCTCTTCAATCAGCTGATTATGAAGATCCATCAAGCCTTTAAAATACTTGACTGTTTTGACTTTCAGCTCTAAAGTTGCATCTTCATCACAGATAAAAATCGTCTGCGGATGCTGCTGGAATGCTGAGACAGTCCACATGTGACTGACACCCTCTTCTATCGCTTTGTGTAAGGCATAGGCTTTGTGGGCTCCTGTGATCAGAATCATCACCTGTTTAATATAATAGGATACTGTAAATTCAGAATTTGTTTTGATTTTTGCGACATTACAATGGTATAAGTTTTGATAAAATAAAAACTGGCATTCTAAAATTTTTATAGCATTTTTTTTCTGAAATCGAAAATGAGTTATCTCCCGAAGATGCCCTTTATTCAACAATTGCATTAATATATATGCAGGCCATAATCTTGCCAGCGAAATGACGATTTAAGTCGCCAAAGAATTTTGAAAATCGCTAAATCTCGCCAGCCGACTGACTTTATGGCGAAGTCAAATCGCTATGAAAATCGGTAAAAGGGAGACAACTTGTGAATTCCAAGTCTCCCAGGTAAAAAAAAAAAGGCGACTGACAAGGAAAATCGACCCAGGACTAATACTGTCGACGATCAAATTAAATAAATACAACGGCGACTTTGAACATCCTCGGATATAACATTCAAAACTATTCAAACGGAAAACTGACTGTCTGTTAAAGTTATCATTTTACAATGATTTTTATCTAAGGATGTTGCGTAATCACTCAGCTGATTTGTTTTATTTTTATTTATTACGAGTCGATCAAATTTTACTATTCGGTAGGTTAAGGGTGGGAATTAACGGTAGATTTATCATATTCATTGCATAAAAAATGAAATATAAAAGGCAGAAAGACAGCTGATTGATAATGTGATTGCAAACGACGACACTCGACCAGCTGTGATCATTTGGTTGATGGGAAGATATCTTTAAAAAATGATAGAAATGAGTTCTTTATCGGTTAATTAATATGTGATTGACAGATATTTTCATTTATTATAGGCTTACAATCTTATACGAGAATCTCAAATTACAACTACATGTAACATGATGTCCTGGACATTCAATAATGTTTTACAAAATAATGACAAGTGGTGATATAAATCAAATTCCCAGTCATGTGAAATTCATCAGGTAAACTGGGAGTCATATTTTTCTGGACATTTAGAAATAAATTGAGGCAGATGCACATGAATTTAATGCATCATAATATTACTAGGCTACTCCCTCATGTCCCAAGCAACAAATTTTATTTAAACTTAAATTCAAGTTGACAGTACAAATGGTATCAATGAATAAATAACTACTATATTGTCTAAACCTTTTTATTAAGAACTTTCTATATATACATTTTGTACAATAACATGAAAAAACTGCAAGTATATTTCTTATTGCATATAAAACAATTTCCTTGGTGATAAGCACGAGAACACTATGTGACCGAAACGGTAATGGAATCTCACTTCTCCCTTTTCTCTCATGGAAGGAGAAGTCACTTCTCCCTCTCCAAAATCCTAGATTAGGCCCTGATATATGCACACCAAATTTTGAGTTTGTAATTAAATCCAGTCTCGCCTTCTTTTGCTGTTAATTGCAGGCTCAACAAAAATGAGAAAAAAAAATAATAAAAATATCCCTCTCTATACTATCTTTTGATTGTAAGTAGCTTCTGTCCAATTTTTGTAAAAATCCAGGATAGTTTATGAATCTAATAAATGTTTTAAAACCTTAAACTGCAGACTGTATGTAATGTTAACTGGAAGAAAAACTAAGTCCATTTATAAGTAAAATACGGAAAAAATGGAACAAAATTTTAACAAAATTTCCTTCTGGATACTAGCTTTTAATCATAAACAATATTCTGTCCAAGTTTGGTACAAATCCAAGATAGTTTAAGAAAGTTGTTAAAATTTTAAAAACTTTAACCACAGAGTGAATGTAATGTTAACTGGCAGTAAAACTAAGTCCATTTATAAGTAAAATACAGAAAAAATGGATTTTTTTTTTTACCAAATTTACTTCTGGATACTATCTTATGATCATAAACAAGCTTCTTTCCAAGTTTGGTAGAAATCCAGGATAGTTTAAGAAAGTTATTAAAATTTCAAAAACTTTAACCACAGAGTGAATGTAATGTTTCCTGGCAGAAAAACTAAGTCCATTTATAAGTAAAATACAGAAAAAATGGAATTTTATTTTTACCAAATTTACTTTTGAATATTATCTTATGATCATAAACAAGCTTCTGTCCAAGTTTGGTAGAAATCCAGGATAGTTTAAGAAAGTCATTAAAATTTCAAAAACATTAACCACAGAGTGAATATTTGTGAACGCCGCCGCCGACGACGGAATGTAGTATAGGGTCGCTATGTCTCGCTTTTTCGACAAAAGTCGAAGGCTCGACAAAAAATGGTTCTTGACTGTAGGGATATTTTGAAAGTCCATTCCTACTCTCCCACATATATTTTAATGGAATAGCCCTTACAGCTTTTCTGTATACAATACACACATAAATCTAGGTCACCCAAAACAAAACATTTTATTTGGATATTTGCTTTATTGAATTTTCAGAAAAATAAAATCATTAATCAATGAAATTTTGAGGATTTATTATTTATTCTAAGAGTATTGCACAGCAATAAATAGTCTCCTACCCATGAAAAATTTATTATACTGGAACAAATTAAAATGCTAACTTAATCTCCTGCTGCAAATATTGATCACTAAATCTGTTTATACTAAAATATATGAAGATGATGATGGGAGTTTTTAACGACCTTGACTGGCTATACAGTCCTCGCACGGTCGGTAAGTATATGAAAAGGTTTTCTTGTGAATCAAGTTTTACTACTCCAGTTGTATCAGCAAGGTTAATTTTCTAAGTCAGAAGACCATAACTCTGCAAAAAAATCATCTGAAATGAACAAAATTCAAACATGATCTGTAACTTGTCGTGGTAAAACTATATACCAAATTTCAAATTAACATCTTCAAGCATGACACAAAAAATACAGACAACTGATTACTTGCATAATTTTTCCAAGTACAAGGACCATAACTCTGCACAAAATCATCAGACTGGAACAATTTTCAAACTGCATCTGTAACTGGTCATGATAAAACTATATACCAAATATCAAATCAATTTCTTCAAGCATAACAAGAACTAGAGGCTCTCAAGAGCCTGTGTCGCTCACCTGTATTTACTGATGCTTTGGAAATCATGTAAAATAAGGTTAAAATCATAATTAATAGTATTAGATATTAGATATTATAATGATATCTAAGATAATAACAAAAAACTGCAAAATTTTTGTAAAATTACTAACTCAGGGGCAGCAACCCAACAACGGGTTGTCGGATTCGTCTGAAAATTTCAGGGCAGATAAATCTAAATCTGATGAACATTTTTGCCACCTGTCAGATTTGCTCTAAATGCTTTAGTTTCAGAGATATAAACCAAAAACTGCATTTTACCCTTATGTTCTATTTTTAACCAAGTCGGCCATGATGGTTGGAAGGCGGGGTCATCGGACAAATTTTTTAAACTAGATACCCTAATAATGATTATGGCCAAGTATGGTTATATTTGTCTCAGTAGTTTCAGAGAAGAAGATTTTTGTAAAAGATTACAAAAATTTACAAAAAATTGTTAAAAATTGACTATTAAGGGCAATAACTCCTAAAGGGGTCGACTGACAATTTTGGTCATGACAACTTATTTGTAGATCTTACTTTGCTGAACATTATTGCTGTTTACAGTTTATCTCTATCTATAATAATATTCAAGATAACAACCAAAAACTGGAAAATTTCCTTAAAATTACCAATTCAGGGGCAGCAACCCAACAACCGATTGTTAGATTTGTCTGAAAATTTCAGGGCAGATAGATCTTGACCTGATAATCAGTTTTACCCTGTGTCAGATTTACTCTAAATGCTTTGGTTTCAGAGATATAAGCCAAAATCTACATTTTACCCCTATGTTCTATTTTTAGCCATGGCGGCCATCTTGGTTCGTTGGCAGGGTCATCGGACACATTTTTTAAACTAGATACCCTAATAATGATTGTGGCCAAGTTTGGTTAAATTTGGCCCGGTGGTTTCAGAGGAGAAGATTTTTGTAAAAAGCTAACGACGACGGAAACGACGACGACGACGACGCCGCCGACGGACGACGGACGCCAAGTGATGAGAAAAGCTCACTTGGCCCTTCGGGCCAGGTGAGCTAAAAAAGGGTGAAAACTGATATGCCGGACTGACAGATGGACGGACAGACATACAGACGGAGTGCAAACCTAAATTCCCCTTCAGCTGTGCCGATAGGGGACTAATAACTTGTACCTGCCCCATCATAATAAATCTTATTACCTAACTAGACTAACTCATTATTAATTTCATTATTTCCTTTGCATTTATCATAACAATAACATTAATATTCTGCAGTCTTTGATTAAACATTTTATTACCCATCACATAAAAAAAAAAAAAAAAATGAATAACAAATTACAAATCTGAATGTATCTAATTTAAATAATGATTACCTCCCTTGCATCCATAACAGTTTGAACTCCAACTGTCAAGGCCTGTTTAGGAACTTTAGACAGATCTCCTCCAAAAAATCTAGCATTGGCAATAATTGTGTCGTTATTTAGTGTCTTGATACGAGTTCTTGACACCAGACTGGATCCTGGTTCATTGAAAGCTATATGACCATCAGGGCCTATACCTGAAAACAGAAAACTTCATCTGCCGGTTATAAAGTAAAACAGTAGGCAAATCACAATACTTTGTTTTAATAAATAACAAAAGCATTAAGAATGTTTGCTGATCTTGTTTTTGACTTTTTATCAGATATTTGGAATCCTCTGATTTTATCCATGCAGGGCATTCTAAAATTTGACCTTTAACCCTTCCTTTTCTTTTCATAAATTTATTACTTTTCATTTTAAAAGCCATTTTGGAAAACTTATAAAATCCCCAAAACAAGCACATGCTTTTTTAGTTCCTTTATTTTATATATACTTTCAATTTATAACAGTTTTAAAAAAAGCTTGTTATTTAGTATTAGCAGCTTGTTATAGTGCAGTAGTTTTTTTTATTTGTGGAACATTGATTTATTAGAGTATACTGTTCAACACTTTATTTTTGTTTATAAGCATAGCTTATTTTCACTGATGAAATTATGTATACTGCTTGAAATTCCAAAATATTTCATCCAAAACAAAACAAAATGTTAGAATTTTATCGCAGACCTTAAGAACTACTTTTTTTATGTTCCATTTCATGACTAAAAATGGTTTGTTTAACTTTTTTTATTTGAGCGTCGCTAAGGAGTCTTTTTTTAGACGAAACGTGTGTCTGGCATATCAAATTTCAATCCTGGTATCTATGATGAGCTTATTAAGACATACCTCCAACAAACAGTTCAATCCCACCAGCATCTGTGATCTTTTTCTCATAATCAGTACACTCCTTTATCAAATCTGTGGCATTGCCATCCAGTATGTGGGCATTCTTTGGATCTATGTCAATGTGTTTGAAGAAATTGTTCCACATAAAGGAATGATAACTTTCAGGATGGTCCCTTGGTATAGCTGAAAAATGCAATATTTCTCTTGCAGTACATGTTGAATGATTTCACATATATCAAATGGGAATAACTCAAATGAATTCATTCAACATACTAAAAATAAATGGTAAATGTGTCCATGGGACACGTATAATGCCCCCACTTGCATATAACGTTCTAAAGGGGCATACCTCAAGAATGGTAAATGTGACGCCACCCAAATTCGATTTTGATCTGTGTTTTGTGGTAATAAGCATTGAAAATAAGTTTCATAACATTTGGTTGAGGCAAACAAAAGTCTGAGTCTGATGTTAGAATAGGTTACAGAAGAAACTAACCAAAATGACCATGATCAACACAAATTAACGAAGGACTACATGTACTAGCAGTTACTGACATGCAAGTTCCAGACCTCAATTAAACTGATCGAAAGATTATATGTCTTCAACATATTCAAAAACAGATATGCATGTATCAAGGGGGTTAACTCTAATAATATACATGTATATCAACATGTTTATCAAAACTGAATGTCTTCACATATATCAAGGTGGATATCTTGAATGAAAAAACATTATTTCTTACTCATCCACATACACATAAAGGGGACTCAATTGAGCAAACTTTTTTTTTAAAGTTATATGTTTTCACATACACCAAGGGAGGTAATTGGATACAACTTACCTACAAACTCATTCATTTTGAATGTCTTCAAAATATGTTTTTTAAGTCAGATAACTTGATCAAACTTACCTACAAACTCATCCATATTGAATGTCTTCCAGATATATCAGTTTGATTGAAGGGAGATAACTTGATGAAACTTACCTACTTATTCAGCTATACAGAATGTCTTCAAATATATCCAGGGTTGTCCCAAAAATAATCCGTTGGGGAGATGGGAGGCTTTCAAAGTTATCAAAACTAGGTGGTTGCACTTTCCTTCGAATTTTGTAGGTTATATATAAATTTTAATTTAAATTTTTAATGGGTGGTCAGCATGGTCAGTGTCTTAAAAAAAATTGCTTCCGATGATGGTATGGATGAGGGGTCCTTTATTTCTTTATTCTTTAATTTTTTATACCATATTTCTGGATTATTCTTTATCTATTTTGCCCATTATTCTCTTCTTTATATTTCAGCACCCCATTATTCTCTATTCTTTATTTTTTGGCCTATTTTCTGTATTAGTTATTTTTTTTGTCCTTCGTTCTGCCCTTTTTGCCCATTATTCTATATTCTGTAAACCTAATCCAAACCCTCACTTATGCCCCCAATGCATTTAATTCTAGATCTAGAACAATGCTAACAAGGGAGATAACTTTATACAACTTACCAACATACTCATCCATATTGAACGTCTTGACATATTTGAAAGACAGCTTCCCTTGTTGGATGAATTCTATTAACTTTTTATAAGTTCCTAATGGAGTACTACCTGAAAGAAAATAATTACAGTACTAGACTTATAAGATACTTATAAAATAAGGAGATGTGGTATGATTGTGAATGAGACAACTATCCACCAGATTTCAAATAAAGTAGATACCGGTACTGTAGATGTAAGCAATTGTTGCCTGTCCAAAGTCAGGAACCTCTTATTAAGTGCATGGATGCTTTGGTTGCTGTTGTTCATAATTATTTTTAGTTTATTGTTTTGTACATTAATAAGGCTGTTGGTTTTTTTTAGTTTGAATTGTTTACATTTTGTAAAGGCATTTTACCTGTACAGTTTACTATAGAAAGGTTTTGATTGACACAATTTGAGCAAGAGTTACTTCCATTTTATTGCCATGTTGGAGGTCTATGTGTACAAATTGGTTCATACATTGTTAATCAACCAAATTCATTTTGTTATACTGACCACAAGTAGACATTAGAAAAAAGGGTTTTCTAAACAATTTTTATTTCTTTCAGTTTTGCTCAATTCATCTCTACCACCTAGTAAGGTTCTCTATAGCTAATCAGGCTTGTGTGAAATGCAATTTTCAATTTGGTTAGTCAAATAAGAAAATGAACCGTTATCCCTCCATAATGGCGGCCAAGGGAAATAAATCAAACCCAAATCATGTCATTCGAAACTTATCTGTATTGTATGGGTTTTGCTTATTGTTGTTATTTTTATATTCTTATTTACTTATCTATTATCTGAGGTTTTCATAATTATTTTAAAACCTGGATTCACAGCTGTGACTTTGCAATGAAGAACAGTACTTAATATCCTTTAGCGTGGCTCAGTACTTATACATCCCGCCATTGTGTTATTGTACTATGGTCATTTTTTATATTCTTGTCTTCCATTTTTGCTTATGTGCTTTGTCTATATGCCATTTTGTTTTTCTTTGTAGACATATTTGTTTGTTTTTATTAAGATTATAATACAATGTTGACTGCTGTACCCCTATTTTTGACATTTTTTCCTATTATGTCTGTTTGTTTTGTTCACACATTGTTTTCAATATCATGGAATTTTATGCAACTGTTATATATACAAGTGAGAGGTTTAGTTAGCTATATATATAGCTATAAACATGATAAACCCAGGTTTAATCCACCATTTTCTACATAAGGAAAAAGTGCCTGTACCAAGTCAGGAATATGACAGCTGTTTTGTTATTTTACTTTTTGCCATGAAGAAAAGCAACTAAAGCACTGTTCCTTTGCTTTTTGTATTTTTTGCTGTGGCTATATACTGATTTTGTGTCATGAATGGAAACCACATTTTGCTTCTTTTTTATTAATTAATTTCTTACTTTGATAGCTCAAATATTACCACAGCATAATATACATGTACCTCTATCCATTAATCACATGTTAATATAGCATAGCATCCTAAGTAAGTACTTCCACACATATAAAATGCTATTTTATGTACATGTATTGAAATATTGAATGACAACTACAAAAAAAAATTTAAAAGTGAACTGTGAATTACAGTAAAAAAGGGCGATTCCTGGACTTTAAGAGTGGCACTTCATTTTTTTCTCTGCAGCTCATATGCATATAAACAGCCTGAAGTGCAGAATTGATAGAAAGAGCTTATCCCAAGTTTTAGTAAGGCACTTAGCTTAGTTAACTTTTACTTACTGGGCAATAAAACTTAAAATTGAGAATGGAAATGGGGAATGTGTCAAAGAGACAACAACCCGACCATAGAGCAGACAACAATGTACATTTTAGTTTGCAAAAGTTTGGGCATAATGTAATTTACCTGTAGGTAAACCTAAAGTGAAGTATTTATCTGGTCCAGGATTAAAATCTTTAATTCTACGCCTGATATATTTAGCTGCCCATTCACTGACATAATCATAATTATCAAGAATTACTAGTCTCATCTGAAATAAAGAAAAATATATATGTTAAATTTCATAAAAATGTTTTTTTTTTCAATTTAGTTTAACTTTGACTTACATTACTATGGACTGTCATGACTGCATAATCATGATAATAGAAACATTTTATGTCAATTAAGATATTTTCATTTTTATATTTTTCCCCAGTATAGATTCTTCTGTGAAAATAAAATAAGAGTCTATATTCAGAACAATTTGTCTCAAATATCTATGTTATTGGTATTCAAATGGGAAATTTACAGATCCATACCCTTCAAACAGAAGAAAAAAAATATTTGTGAAATCAAATACAATGTCATGTACATTTATAAATTTGGCATACACAAATTTCCAGGTGTATAGAATTGTATGTAAAAGCATCAAGTGACTTCATTACATTAACCATAGCCCCAAACAAAGCATAAAGTTTAGGGCTCTTCCATTAAAATGTATGTGGGCCGGATGGCCCAGAGGGTAGGAAGGGACTTTCAAAATATCCCTACAACCAAGAAACAGCTATTTTTAAATAATTTTGCATAATGGTAATAGACGCATACTGAAAAAAAAACCATGACCCACATTCAATAATTAAACTTCCCTTCCTACCCTCCAACATACATTTTAATGGAATAGCCCTTATAACCAAAAGTGTCTCCAGATCATGTATGATAATGAAGGTCCTTATTTTCTGTATTCTTTAATTATAACGCTTATTCTATGAATTTCTTGTGAAAATGATTTTACTATTCCATCTTTCTGCAATCAAATCATTTCTTTCCTTTATTCTGTACATTTTTATTTCTGTAATCATTAATGTAAAAAATACCTAATTCTTTTCATTTCCACAGTTATTCGTTATACTTTTGCCCGGTTATTCAATATTATTTATATTTATAGTTCATTTTTTTTTTCATTGATTTTTTGCTACGCATTACTCTCAATTCTGTGAACCCATCCACACCCTCATGTATCAACATGATCAATTGGTGTTACAAATGTTAGTTCAATAAAACTTGTAGTTAATTAACTATACATTTTAAACTTTGTTATAAAGAATAATTTCCCTTTTGTTGTACTTTTCTTTGAAATAGCAACTATCTGTTAACATCTGGCAATATATCACATATATCATGTATATGTAGCATTTGAATAATGCTACAAAGATAGTTTAAACAATGACCTTGATGTAAATATTATAATTTTTAAATCAATTTGTTTTAAGTTATTTTTAGCATTACAGATAAGATTTTAGATCATTTTTGTGTGCATTTGTGTGTCCTAAGTCAGTAACCTGTTGTTTAGTGGTTGTCGTTTGTTGATGTGCTTCATAATTGTTTCTCATTTTTTATATAGATTAGATCGTTGGTTTTCCTGTTTAAATGGTTTCACACTAGTCATTTTTGGGGCCCTTTATAGCTTGCTGTTTAATGTGAGCCAAGGCTCCGTGTTGAAGGCTGTATTTTGACCTATAATGGTTTACTTTTTAAAAATTGTGACTTGGATGGAGAGTTGTCTCATTGGCACTCCTACCACATCTTCTTATATCTATATACACATGTATGTAACCAATGTTGATTAACTGTCTCTGTGTACACAACAAATAAATGTCCGTATACAACCAGATTAACTTTAACCTATAATGGTTTACTTTTTACACATTGTTACTTGGACACTCATACCACATATATACATGTACTACAACTTTGTTTGGGTCATGATCAACTTTGGTTGTCATGTTTGCAGAATAGTCTTGTATTATTATTGATGAAGAAAAACAACAAACAATAACAGCTGTTGGGGGTTTGAATAAAAAATCAAAAAGTTCTGTCTTATATTCATGATAAAATTTTGTTTGTTGATACCAATACTGGCATTAATAGAAGAGTGGAGAGAGCACTGTCTATATACATGTATTGGACATCATACATGTACATGTGATGGACTGTGAAACTCAAATTAGGAGATTGGGAAATTTTGGTCAGGAGTTTAGACCTCAGATCAGGAGGTTTGTTATGGACATAAACTTTGTCGTAAATGTAACTGTCATAACTGTGTGATGTAAAATTTGTTTTTAAAAGTGTTTTTTCTTCAATATTCCACCTGAATGCAATGTGTAACCATGTACAATGTAGCCTTACTGCTTGAATGATACACGTATACATGTAATTTGAAAAAAAATATTGAAAAGATTCTGTTTCTTGTTTTGTTTTTGGTTATTGACAAATTTGACTGCTCATAAACATGATAAATATCTTTTTTTAGTTCTACTATGATTCAACCTTTTCTTTGAGTACGAAGAGAAAGTCTAACTATATTGTTTTATTCCTGCCTCCATCTTATCTATTTGTATTCAATGTCATTAGCATAGATATACATGATATATAAGAATGAAATATGCTATACATTTATAAAATGATAGATAGATGAAAAATTAACAACCAATAGTTACAATGAGTTATGCATGGTTTTTAAGCATTAAGAAAGTCATTTTGCTAGAAATTTCAAGACTCAATGTTTCAAATGCCGTTAAATATATTAGCTAGAGCGTTGTCTATAAATACAGTGACAAATATTATTTAAGAACTAAAGCACTGGTCTATGAACACTGGGTCATGTTAGAATCGAAGTACCAGCTGGTTTGACTGTCTTTAGTTTAATACACTTGAATCTGTACTAAGATAATCCTGATCCTGGTAATAGTTTATTGTAGTTGTAAGGAGGCTGTGAATTGTCTTTGAGTCAATGTTTGTCTGTTAGGACTGAAACTATTACATGTATATAATGTCCCAGGTTAGGATCTTCTTAAGCATGCCGAATGTTCTTCATGTCCACATTGGTGTGTGAAATAGCTAGTATTTCTTTGCTGAGTTAAAAGTTTATTAATTGTTTTTTCTGCATCAAAACAAGGATTTGTATACTATACAAATCCTTGATCAAAACCTTCCGATTGATGTTTTGAAAACAACTTTCCACTTTTCCATCAATGCCAACTTATTTATCAGCATGTGCCATATCAAGTATTTAATTATATCCTATCACTTGTTTATTGTTCAATCATCTTTTTTCACTTGTTAATTAGCCGCAGGCCAGGTCAAAATCTCCACATGTTGCATAATCAGGTAAATTGAGGTAATGACAGTTACATAGGAAACGTTCGATACACTCTGGTTTTTACGTCTTCAATAACCAACATTTGTAAACATCATTGTCGAATTTGGTGCCAGAAATTTTACATTCATGTTGTATTTTATAATATTATACTGGATTTTTTCTCTTCGACGGGAGGACAGGAGGAGACCCCTGAAAATGGGATTATTGGGACATGGAGTTTAATTTAACATAATAACATTTTATTTGGTTTCAATTGGCCTGTAGACATTATTTTTACAGGCCTGACAGCAATTTCACAAGCTTGGTCTGGAGGATTAAGTTGAAGACTGAGCTGTATAATTTGTGTGTAACTGTGAAACCGCTCTTAGGTTCTTATGATATTTTTTGACTATTTGTGGACCATCTATAATAGTCAAAAAATATCATAAGGACCTAAGAGCTACGGTTCCGCAGCTATATTGTGTGAAGAGTAACAGGTGGTGATTACCATTCACAATGGAATCATTGGCAATAAGGCCATAAGATTGAGGATTGAATTTGAGGTTATCTATACAGTGACCTTGCATTCCCTTAACAAAATTGGAAAAAAAATGATTGTATTGCTTCTCTTCAAATGACTTAAATTAAAATAATCAGCTATGGATGTGTAAAATAAAGAAATAATTAAGTAAACTTGCGATGCCAATGGTCCAGATTCTGAATCAGCTGATTGATGCTATCGTAAATTCTGTTAACGACATCAACTTGTAAACCTTTTTTTTATCTAATAGATTTATCATCTTATTTTTCTGAATAATTTTGAGATAAGTAGAAAAAGAAACATGATATAAATAAATATAATGGTATTAAATTGGTATATAGCGTGTTTTATATTTTACGACAAACACATTTAATTCACTTCCGGCAGCATGTTTTCAAAACTGTGCAGACGATTTCAAAGACGATCATTGTCAAATTTCCAAACTTTTGTGCGTCAGAAGCGAAAACAAACACTAGTGACATCAAGTCAAATATACAAAAACACTATTTTCAGATGTTCGTTAGTTATAAACCAGTTAGAAAACACATTATTTAACATTTTTAAACAACGAACTACCGGCTTCGCGTTCAAGACCTTTGCTGTGCCATTTGCAGGATCATTGGCACTGATAGGAATCAAAGCAAATTGTTCTGGGAATTTTGATGCAAATCGTAAGAAATGAAGCATTAAATGCAAATATTAACGAATCTTCTTCTCATGACATGTGTACTTGTTAAATGTTTATCCACATAATTTTATTGCATCAGACTGTCAGATTATGTTAATTTGTGCCCAAATCATTTCACAGTCAGTTTTTAGTTCTTGGGTTTTGTGCTGATAAATTCTTTGGTGACTGCATGTAATATCCCCCTAGCTTTGGTTGTTTTTACTGTGTGGTCTCTCAGTTCTATAGACATGATAGATGTTACCCAGTTAACACAAAAACATTGTGTTTATGTTTTATAAACATTTTGAAAAATGTTGTGAAAATATCGTAGAAAATATCAAAATCACGTTAAAATGTATGGCGCTAAAAATATTTTCAAAACATTTTCCATAACATGTCCAGGATATTTTTAAAACATCATTAAAACGTTTCTGAATTTTGTTGACAATGTTTGTAAAATGTTTTGTAAATGTTTTAAATATGCATGTTTATAAAATATCCTTGAAACATTTTTAAAACATAAAAAAAATTGTTTTTGCAGGATAAAATGTTGTGAAAATGTTCAAAAAACATTTTACAAAATGTTTTAATAATGTTCATATTCTCAAAACATGATTTAAATGTTATATGAATATCATTAGAAAAATGTTTTCTTACAACCTCATTCAAATGTTTTATAAAATATTCAAAAAACATTTTAATCATGTTTGATCTGGGGGTGGGGAGGGGGGGTCCTGGGTCCCCTTATGGAGCTTCAATTATGGTTAATCTAATTCCTACTATTTCACTCAAACTTTGTCTAGTTTAGAGCCTGTGGCCCCTCTTTTCATAATCCTGGATCTGCATCTGAAAAACAACTGCTGTCATACTGATCTTTACCCCACATCTCCTTTTATAATTGTTTGTTGATTGCAGTTGAATCTACATATATTTTGTTTACCGTAGATACTCGCCTAATAGTCGATCCTACTATAAGTCGGGGTCCCTTTTCAGCTCCAAATTCTAAGGATTTAGTCTTGACCCTCGTATAAGTCGGACAAAATTTGGGCATTTTTTTTTCAGCTGACAGTAACTGAACGCCGGTAAAACCAATGCAAATCCAGGAATAATATTCATTTCTGCATTAATGTTTGTTTGGTTTGAATTTAGTTGATGCTCATCATGATAATTTATATTGCTGTTAATAATAAAGATGTATTCATTTCTCTTGTTTTGTTCACTGTTCAAATGCTAGATTAGCCATGTGTTGTTTACGTAATGCATCAATGATTTTGTAGGGTATGACTAACAACCTATTGTTTGATAAAAGCGAATATAAACCAATATGAACCTGAAAAATTTAAAGTCAATCAACACTTGATGAAAATATTTTTCACAGCATACATAACTCGGTGTTAAATGAGCATGTACACTTCATAATTCTTATTATATTGTGATGATTAAAGGATTAAAAAAATTAAGTGAAGCTAATCAATATATTAAAATAACTAACTCCAACTCATTAGTGTCATCTGTTTACCTATCACTGATAGTTTTCACACCTTTAGTGAATACAACTCTTTGTCTCTTAATTGGGGTTATCAATGGATTATATTGGCTTGTCAATCAATTTTGTAATTTTTGTTTACCTGAGACACTATAATGAATAATATTTTGATTTTGGGAATGAATCTTAAAATTATTTTTTGATTATTATATGATTTATAAGCATTGAATTGATATCATGATATCACAATAATGACACAATAACTCCGCTGAAACCATCCTTTCACAAATTTGGTACATTGTTATCTCCTTTTCATTTTTGGTTCTTGGCTCTTCTTTTGGGTTTATAGGAAAACCATGTGACCATGAAAATCAATACACAAACCGGAAACAGTAGAATTTCAACACGAATTTGCAGAAAATGTTTACCAAAGAACAAATAAAACACAAAGACAGTATTGAAGTCATTTATTTTCAACAAAAACTTTTTATTTATTGATTTATGTAGGTTTGGCAATCAAAAACGTAGTTTTGACCAGGAAATTCACTCCTGACCACTTTTCTCAAGCATGGATTTTTCCTCTGGTTGCTAGATCTCGTCTATTAGTCGCCCCCCCTCTCTGGATTATGAATTTTACTCCCAATTTTCCGACTAATAAGCGAGTAGGAACGGTACTTTTGTCGGATTGATGTCTCATTGACATAACCCTATTTTTTGTAATACCTTGAACACGTAATAATTTGTCATGGTTTTTTTCTGATTTTAATCTTAGTGCATTTTTTTTGAGAAGTATTTCTTGATCTCATGTTTGATCACATGTAGCATCGGACATTTTTTTTCTGAAGTTTTTTGACTGTTTTCTTTGCTGCCTTAGTCAACACGATACAAGATAGAATTACAATTATAAATGCAAAACATTTATTCAATATTTTCGTATCACTGTTCTTTTTCAAAGTTTCTTTTGTTCCATTCTTTTTATTTCTTTTGACATCTGCTGGCTTCTGTAAAATAAAGTGTAAACAAATTAGTCCTTCTGTTTAGTGATTAAACGAGTGGAAATTCAGCTAATTTCATTGAATTACACAATAAACTATTTTTCTTCAATTTAATCCAGTGTTTTCACAAAAATATATTGAAAAGTGTCATCTAATCAGTGTTAATGGATTCAGAAGCAACAATTGTAGCTACTTTATACATCTGTAGAGTTTGGGGTGTATTATTATTACAAAAGTGTAACGGTAGATTTCACCAGTTTATAAAATAAGACATGTATACTGTACACTACAATTTTCTCAACTTAGAGTAGCCAGCCGTGTAGGGCCTGTAACATTTTCTTGGTCTTGGTTATTGTATATTTCAGCGCAAATACATGTACTATAGATTGAGGATTTTAAAGAATAAATACCTTCATAAAATTTGCTCCTCCAGGATGGTTTGAATCATTTCTAAGCTTATATTCTTCTATATAATCCCCATTTCCATTCTCAATTTTAATCTGCATTTCTGAAAATCTATCCTAAATTTTGGTACGTCTAATCATGCTAATTGATCCTACAAAAGTTAAAATAAACAAAATAAATAAAATACAGGTAAGAAAAAGTCACATTGTATTAGTCAGCTACAAAGGCCACAACATTCAAAAATAAACAGCTGCGCCATGAGCGCATGATACGCCCGTCACATTTTTCGAAGAAAAAAGTTCAATCATTTCTCAATGTCAAATCAGAAATTCATGAAAATTGAAAGGGAGCTTAAGTTAATAGATATAAACTATTCACCAAAGTTTAAAGAGAACTGCTGAAAGCGTTTTTGAGTTATTGTCCGAAAACTAGAAAATCCACGCTATTTTTAAGGAATAAAACTCCAGAACTCGGAAACGTAAAATCTAAAATTTAAAAAGTTTTATTCAAATTGGTTAAAGCATTTATGAGTTAATGTCCGACATGTTGACGACAGACATACAGACAACGGTATACCATAATACGTCCCGTAAACGGGCGTATAATTAAAGACAATTCAAACAATGAAACTAATGGCATAATTTATAAAACAAATATGTTAGAAATGAACCGACAACTACTAAACATACTTCTGTCTTGGGACCGGCACATAAATAATTATCTGGCCTTGGGCTGGGCTGTAGGGCTAAACACAAATGTACAAGTTACATAAACAATATATTATAGCACAGGGGCGCGTATCATAGATATTTTGGGGCGGAAATATATGCCAGTCAACTGGTATGCGTTATATATTGTGTGTTTATAGCTAACCATTGCATGTTTGAGATTCCCTTGACTAGTAGATATGTAGCCAGCGATTGAGCTAAGGAAGTACAGCTTAAATAGCTCAGTCTGTTAAAGCCAACAAAGCGTCAAAGGGCGGACTTGTAACACAGAACTTTTCAGACATGCTCACTGGTTACAAGTGATTACATTTATGAATTTTAAAATCATATAAATAACCCTCAAGTTTAACCCCTTTTCTATAATTCGTAATGTTCACTGGACATAAACATCATAACATCTAGGTAGACTAAATCATCACCCCCCTTTTTGCATTGTGCTTGCTTACACTCGTATTAATTCTTGGAATATATTAATCAAATTAACCAAGATATTTCCAGAAGCATAACAATGTTTTATAAATGTGAACTAGTGTCATATCTTACCAGTTTTAACGCATGATAAGGTTATTCTTCATTTTGTACGTTTCCTTTGTCTTTGTTTACAGCATGGTAAATAAAACTTCCGGTTACTGGTTTCCAAAATTGCTTCGGATCATGTTCGTTGGTCATCGGGATCAGTTAGATTTTAAATGTGTAAACTTTTGTTGTCGGTACTGGAACAGAAAATCCGGAAAATAGCAATACGTGCAGTGTAAAAGGCTATATATGGGAAGTACCCGCTTCAATCACTGTCATTTGATGAAATAAAGTTTTTCTTCCATAACCTAAATTAATGTTTGCAAAATATTGTTTAAACATTTTCTATTAAATGTTTTTAGGTAAATGTATTCATAATATTATTTTAAAATGTTGTTAAAATATTAGTAACAAAATGTTTTATAAATTCATTTTCTCAATATTAAATGCGTAACGTTTTTAAAATGTTTTCATCAAATATTATGAAGAAATGTTGTTAAAATATCTTAAAGGCATGTTATTAAAACATTTCATGAAACATATTTAGAAAATGTTTTAAAAACATCGCAGCAATATTGTTAAGAATGTTTTACTCATATGCTTTTAAAATGTTTTTCAGAGGTAGAACGTACATATCTTCTGAACATTTATAAAACATTCAAACAAAATATCTTAAAAAATGTCATTGAAAACATTTTCATGAATATTCTTACATCATTGTAAAAACATTTTCAAAAAATGTTTTAAATAAATGTTTTTAAAATACAATAAAAAATATCTACATAACATCACGAAAATATTTTTTCGACAACGTTTTGAGACGACATTTATACAACCTTATAAAAATGTTGTGAAAATGTTTTGTGCTACCTGGGTAGGGAGCTACCATTTGATTTTTATGGGGGGCTAGGATGAAAAATTTTGTCCTGCATTTTTTTTTAGTTGTAATCTCTGTCCTGCCTTTTTATTTTTTACTCTATTCGGTCCTGTCTTTTTTTTTATTAGTTTATCCTGACTTTTTTTACATAAATTGTCATCCTGCCTTTTTTTTTTGCCAAGTTGCTCATCCTGCCTTTTATTTTACTCAAAACTCCTGTCCTGCCTTTTTTTTCAAATTTCATCCTAGCCCCCCCCCCCCCCCCCCCCCCCCCCCCCCCCAATAAAAATCAAATGGTAGCTACCTTATAAAGATCTGTTGGGAAGTATTCGAACGAGGATGAATTGTTGTCAAGCCAGGTTTCAGTACCAAGTATGATATTTGGTTTTGCAGAGTCTATCAATTGTAAAAGTTCCGGTTTTTTATTTTGAACGGACTGGAAATTAATTTTGAGAACTCTAACATGTCTAATACATGTAGGTTTTCTGCTTTTATTTGTAGTGCACTGTTTCTTTTTCATTTTACATTGTTTAGGTATTGATGAGGATGTGGCTTTTGGAGCACCTGGGCTCTTAATACTGAGTTATCATTCAATGTGTCATACAAATTTATTGTTTCAATGGTCTAGGGGTTAAACAGACTAGTTGAGAAGTTGGGCTATTCATAAGATTGAAGTCCATGAATATTCCACAATTCATGGACATGTTTTGTCGATATAAATAACACCATGCAGATAAACATATTGTTCTTTGAGAAAAGTTTCTGCAAATAATAATGTTAATATGTGCCCTTTTGTACTTGAAAAGTGTTTAAATAAAAAGTTATCATTTGAAATTTACCCCATATAACATGTATAAAAAGGATATGGTCATTACTTTGAGGGGTTAACCCTCATTTGAGGGGTTGTTCCCAACCTATTGAAAATTGACTTTCCATTTTGAATTTTTTATTAGGCCTAATGATATTAAGGATTATTTCCCTTTTGTTGTTTCAATGCTAAACATACATAACATATGGAAATTTTATAGAAAATCCACAGCCTTTCCCCTTGTACTCTAATATTTGACAATTTGGTGCTTGATAGATAGAGGATTATTGCATGCAGTGCTAGCAATGATTTCCTTAAAACAAGTTTATAAATTAAGAGACTGGTTAAAACAAATATAGATATGGACCAATTCAAATACACCTTCTAGGGTGCGCTTGACTTTAGTGACTCTGCACAAGGTCTTTGGAATGTAAAGGTTGTTTAGGACTTTTTGTAAACAATAAACACTAGCACATCATGGACAAACAAGTGAGTAATCTATGTTTAAAATTTTATAACGAGAATCTCTGTATTAAAGTTTTTTATTTGCCACATAATCCCCATTTTCTATAAAATGCAATAAAACAATAAATAATTTTGCTTTGAATGAAGTTTCCCTTTGGTACACATGTATATGTGCAAAATGGCACATCTCTATTATTATACCCCCGCTTTAAAAAAGTGGGGGTATACTGTTTTACCTCTGTCCATCCGTCAGTCTGTCAGTCCGTCCGTTCCATGAATATTGTTCGTCGCATCTTTCTCAGGAACTACATTACAAGGATTTCTTAAATTTGGTTTCTGGGTTTATATGAGTCAGCTATACTGTGTGATGCGTTTTCAGATTCATCACTCAACAACTTCCTGTTTACCTTATACTTTTAGCGGGCGGGGGTATAATTAGTGAGCAGTAGCTGACAGATTCACTTGTTCATTATATTTACTGTTTTGATATTATTGCACTTTGAAAATTTCGTAATACACATGGCTACAGAAGGGGTCATAAACCTTAATGATCATTCATTTATATCTATCTTTGAAATGACCAGCTGATGACCCATGGATAGACAACTTTAAACTAGTTCAAGTCCATCAATGTTATTTATGTTTGTTTTGATGGTTTCCACCCTTTTTTGGGAATTTTTTTAGATTGATTTTTTAAATTATATTTTATATCAATTTAAGAGTTTTTATTAACAACATTGTTTTACTTTTACATATGTGTTATTTTCAATTGTAGATTTGAGGCTTTTAGAAGCAGTAAAAGATAAAGACAATAGCACCTTAGAGAGGTAAGACTTATTCTATAGTTGGAGCTCACACACAAATAAGTACTTCTGTAATCACTAGCCAGTCAACACTGAGGTTGTGAGTTCGAACCCCGCTCTTGCGGGTGCACTCGACTCCAATCTTAATTGACTAGGATTGTCAGTTTTCCTATCAAAGGTCGGTGGTTTTCTCTGGGCACTCCAGCTTCCTCCACCAATAAAAATTGGCCGCCATGAAATAGCCCAAAAGCGGTGCTTAAAAGTCGTGTTAAAACACCAAAAATCAAATCAATCACACAAATAAGTATAATATAGAATATAGAATTGAATGGGGAATGTGCCAAAGAGACAACAACTGATCAAACTGCAGAAAAGAGACCATGCAAGGCCACCAATGGGTTTTCAATGCAGTGAGAAAATCCCACACCTGGAGGCGGGCTTCAGGTGGCCCCTGAACAATAATGTAGACTAGTTCAGGGAAATGGATTCCACACTAAACTTCGAAAAATACAAATGAACCAAAATTAAAAAAACACACAAGACTAACAAAGGCTATGGGTTCCTAACTTGCAACATGCTGCAATCAGGAGTAATACTTATACAATTCATGTTTATTTATTTGAAGATGTAATGTTTATTCACTTGAAGATGTAAGTCATATTTATATAAATAAGAAGATGTGGTATGATTGCCAATGAGACAACTCTCCACAAGAGACCAAATGACACAGAAATTAACAACTATAGGTCACTGTAGTGCCTTCAACAATGACAAATGAATGAGCAAAACCCAAACAGCATAGTCAGCTATAAAAGGCACTGAAATGACAAATGGAAAACAATTCAACGAGAAAACTAATAGCCTAATTTATTTACAAAATAATATACCAAACATTTAAATTTACTGACCTGTATGAGGCAAAAATTGTAATTAAGTATGTCTTTTTAAGGCCATGCACACCAATTTATAGGCCAAGCACCCTAAAAAAGACTCCAAGATTATTGTTAAAAAAATCGTCCTAAATTGATATAACATGTATAAATTATAATTTAAAACATGAACCTAAAAAAAAATTATAAAAAGGTTGGAAACCATTCAAAAACATTTATCTTTGACCTATACAAGTCAAAGGTTGTTCAATTACCCATGGGTCATTTCAAAGGTCATGCTCACTAATTTTTATGTCAAGCACCCGTATGAGAATGCCCAAAAAAATGAAAAAAATATTATTGAATTGTTATCTTATATATATATACAAATGTATGTAGGACTCTGAACCGCGATGGTACTCCGAACTGCCATGGTCACGCTGATGTGCGATGGTTTGACACTAAAGTGCGTTTTTGATCATGCTGAAGTGCGTTGTGTCATTGTGACGCTATCTTGTTGATAGCTATGCTGAAGTGCGATGGATTACATAAATCATATTTTCAATGTTTTTTATGTTCACATGTCGATGTAGAAATCTATTTGTTTTGTTAGATGTAGCTTTTCGTTTTTTTTTTTATGTAAAACATCGAGAGTTTAACCGTCTAATTTAAAACAGTCATTGAATTTCCAGTCCTCACTGACTGTAACGTTGTAGTGTATATTATACTTTGTAAATAGTTAAGACAAAATAAAGCAGCCGTTCATTCAATCGTTCAGAAATTGACGCTTCTATTTTTTTTAAAAAGCAGGACTAATTGCAATGATTAAAAAAAGTGTGGTAGTTGTTTGAAATGCAAATACTTCTTAGTTAGTCAGAACCAAACAAATTAAGCGAAAAATGTATACTGCTGTTGTGAATAAGAACCAGAAATAAGATAGATCACCCGTGTCTTTTACTGCAACTGGAGAAAATGTTGAATGTTTAATATTTATATACCAACTTTTTAAAAAATCAAGCTCTCATAATAATTGTACATCTGTAAATTTTAAACTAGCCATCACACGTCTGATAGACCATCGAACATCAGTGAAAGGACCATCGCACTTCAGTGTAGACCATTGCAGTTCAGCGTGACCATCGCACTTCAGCATCCCCATCACACCTGCGAGTCCCACATATATATAAGTGAACTTTTTTTAAAAGATTTTTATTTAATTTTCAAGGTTTAAAAAGCCTGGGGCTGTTTTCTGCTCTCTTTGACACATTCCCCATTTCCATTCTCATTATTTTGTTAGCTCACCTGGCCTAAAAGGCCAAGTGAGCTTTTCTCAAATTAAATCAAACTTGGCCACAATTATCATTGGGGTATCTAGTTTAAAGAATGTGTCCGATGATCTCGTCTGCCAACCAAGATGGCGGACATGGCTAAAAATAGAACATAGGGGCAAAATGCTAAAAGTTTTGTCTATTATTTTGAAATCATTGTATATAGAGAATATTGTATTTGTCAAAGGGTCAAAATAAATATTTTGTCAAAATTTTATGAAAATTAAATGAACCAAATTAATTTTAGTCAAGGTGTTTGGTACCACCTTAGATTAAAATGTTTGCCTACATGTACCTACTTGTACCTAACATATTTTGTTTCAGCATGCTAGATGAAACAGAGGTTTTATTTGCTTATAGGCCATACAACACTAGCTACATATTTTATGATACATTGTAGGCTGATCAAAAGTGGTGTAGATTTAAATAAAAGACACCAGTTAGGATGGACAGCCTTACAAGTAGCTGCAATCAACAAAAATCTAAAGTAAGAGTTTTATTACATTTATACTGAACAATTGGAAGCCTCATTGATTAATTGTTGTTGTTTATTAAAAAAAAATCAGAATGCTTGGCTTTATCAGCTGTACCAGTTCATTTTATTGGAGGGAGCCAGAGTATCTGGATAGAACCACCAACCCTTTGGAAGCAGAATTTGCCATCCTAAAGTCAATTAAGATCAAAGTTGAGCACACTTTGCCCTCAGCTGTGTTCAAACTCACAACCTCAGTGTTGACAGGCTTTAGTTATCATTCTAGATGAACTACTTAGACCACCTTACCATTGAGATCCTTCAATAGCAAGTGTATACACCTTGAAAGTCTGCCCTTTATTATTGTGAGTGAATGCAATAAAATTATACATGAATATGTATCAATTTCCTGTTGCACTAAACACATTAATTGGCCATAACTCTGTAGCAGGTATGCCTACTACCAATTGAACATTGATTGGAAAATATAAAACAGAGAACAATTATTTTAAACTAAATTTAGAACCTAGATCAATGAATAAAAAAAAGGAGATGTGGTATAATTGCCCATGAGAAAACTATCCACCAGATATCAAATGATGAAATTCTACTAGGAGGACCATGGAATCAACATTTCTTTTATAATACCGTATTTTAATTATAGAGCAGTGGAATTGTTGTTGAAGAATGGAGCTGACCCTAACTTAGGAGATGACTACACTCATTATTTGATGATGGCAAGAGAAAGGGGCTTCAATGCATTACAAGGTAATATGATACACAGGATTGTTATGCAGTTGTGACGCAGTAAAGTTAGACAACACATCTTCATTATATATTAATGAATAAAAAATGATGTGATGTATACACCAATTAGACAGCTCCAGTATTCAACACACACAAAAAAAACAATAGACTTCTACAGATCAATGTATTGTTTATAAAGATACACATGTGTTAATTAAAGAACTATGTATTGCTAGAAATCACCATGAGTTTAAAAAGTTGTGAATACAATGAACAGTGACTATAAAAATCTGCCATAAACACCAAGCTATAAATCATATGCATGTAAATTGTGTATAAATGTTCATTGCTGAAGAAATAAATTACATTATTCTAAGGGCTGTTCCAAAATTGATCAAGGTGGGGGGATAAACATTTATATTATGGGTGGTTGTTATCTTAAAAAAAGTGCCTCCTTTGTCCCCCCCTTTTGCATTTAACTTTGGAGCAGCCCTACCAGCCCTGAAAGTAATTACATTATTCAATATCAGTATTAGAAAAATGTAATTACTTTATGTCAGTTATGTCAGTAGTGCAGTAAAAAAGTAAAGTTTACTTTGTGTCAGTAGTGCAGTAAAAATGTAAAAATTACACCATGTCAGTAGTGCAGTAAAAATGTTAATTTTACATCAAGTCAGTAGTGCAGTAAAATATGAAATTTACATCATGCCAGTAGTGCAGTAAAATGTGAAATTTACATCATGTCAGTAGTGCAGTAAACAAGTAAAATATACATTGTGTCAGTAGTGCAGTAAAAATGTATAATTTACATCATGTCAGTTCATGTCAGTAGTGCAGTAAAATGTGAAATTGACATCATGTCAGTAGTGCTGTAAAAAAGTAAAATTTACATTTTGTCAGTAGTGCAGTAAAAATGTATAATTTACATCATGTCAGTAGTGCAGTAAAATGTGAAATTGACATGTCAGTAGTCCAGTAAAAAAGTAAAATTTACATCATGTCAGTAGTGCAGTAAAATGTGAAATTAACATCATGTCAGTAGTGCAGTAAAATTTTGATCATTAATATCATATTTGTCAGTAATGTTAGCCAGAGAAGAACAATTTAGTGACAGATTAAACAGACAATCAACATTCCAGGGCTGTACAGCTTTACATTATGCCGTGTTGATTGATGATGCTGCCATTGTGAGGGCTTTGTTGGAAGCAGGTAATACAACACACTTAAATATACCATTGAAAGTTCATTATAACATTGGCATAGTTGCCAACTCACATGGACATCTAATCCTAAGATATGAGTTGCATCAGATAGAAATCGACCTTATGCAAGTGCACATATACATGACATGTATAAGACATGGATTGATTTTGGAACATTCGAATACGAAATATAAGATGAACTTTGGTCTGTTTTTTAGGGTTTTTATAACAACTCAATTTCAAACAGTTACAGACTTTCCGTAGAGATTTTTTTCAACCAGAAATAGGTTAAAAGATGTATTGCTATTCATTTAATTTGCATAAGGTGGATTTCTATCTGATGCAGCTTCGTGAAATTGCACCCACTGATACTTTTGACATGAAAAAAAAAATGACCCATTCCAACATGTCCAATGCCCATCTGTGTGTCTCTTCATTCAGGAAGAGGCTCCACTTACTCTGCTTTGTGGAACCTGTTTTCATGATTTTAGAATAAACTGGGGATGGAATATTTACATGACCACCTGCAGGTCAGCCTACCTTAATATAATGACCTTTGTATTGAAGGGTCAAGTCAGGATTAAGTTGAGGGTTTAACAAGTGGCTGGAATTAGTGTTAGGGTTAAGGTTCTTAAAAGGGCCAGAGAAAGTATCTGTATAGTCCTATTAATGTAAAAAAAAGAAGACTGGGATACATAATTTCGATTTTTTTAAATTCAGTGAATTTTGTTAACTCACTAGTGACTTTTTTCACGGTCTTCAGATACAAGAATAGTTGTCTGATCTCTAAATTAACCAATTCATTGTGTTCTATTCCCGATTGTGACATTTGGCTGAGTGTGGATTGGTATAGCAGGTGGTATATGCTGAGCAGGAAACTTTTACCAAATGCGTACAAAGTTTTAATCCTGGTATATATATCTTTGCTGAGTTTATTTACAACCACTGGGTCAATGCTACTGCTTGTGGAAGTTCCCTCTCTGAGGATATCACCAGCCCAGTAGTCAGCATTTCTGTGTTCACATGAATTATTATTGATGTGGTCATAATTGTTTAGTAACTGTTAACAAAACTTTGAATGTTTTGAAATACCCTGGTACTAGGGATTTACTACCCAAGGAAAAGAAAACCTTAACGGAATTTGATAAAACTTTTCAGAATTTTGGATCCTCGACGCTCTTCAACTTCGTACTTTGTTTGACATTTTTTTACTTTTTTGATTCGAGCATCACTGATGAGTCGTTTGTAGATGAATTGCGCATCTGGTGTTACAAAACTTTAATCCTGGTATCTATGATGAGTTAATATTCACAGCTTATTTCACTTCTTTTGGAGTTCATACAATTACCTCTGTTTTGAACGTATGTTCATAATGGATTAATGAGATTTTAACATCCTCAAACTCTCCGGTGGCCACTTCAATCCTTTTGTGGCAGTGGTGAGCAGCTGAGACATACAGTACTTCAACCTTTTCATATTTTTTGAATAACATTATTACACTTTTTCATGGAGAGATAAATAGATTTGACAAATATCTGATGCATTTACAAAAGTGGTTTAATTTGTATCCTTGAAAAAAAATGATTAGTTTCAGATACTTATGATTTAAGGATGTTCGCCCCTCTGTTTCAAAATAACAAGCTTTTTAAAAGACTGTTATAAATTGAAAGTATATGATTTATAGAATTAAAAAAGCAGAAAAAAATGAAGGGTCCGTGTGCTTGTTTTCAAGATATAAGCCATTAAAAATTTGGCCAGAAGTGATTCTCTCTAGATTTTTCATACATTTAACATTGGCACCTTTTTTCTTTCAAAAACTATGAAAAATAACAAGGATTTTATAAGATTTTCAAATATGGCTTTTTAAACTATATGTAATATAAAAATATAAAAAGAAAGTAGGGGTTTGCGGGCAAAATGTTTTAACGGCACTACATGGATAAAACTAGAGGATTCCGAATATCTAGCAAAAATTCAAACACAAGAAGAGCGAACATCCTTAAAAAGCAACCCTGTCATATATTTCATCTTAATTTCTCGACTTTATCAGATATCACAATGCTGAAAATAGTGACCTATTCCAGCGACTCATCCCTACCACTCATTACATTGTAAGTCCCCCGCCTGAACTCAAACTACTATTATCTCTTAATTATGAGGGTCTGGTTTACAGAATAGCAAATAATGGGGCAATACTATAGACAAAATAAAAAAAGCCCAATAAAATACAGAAAAACAGGCAAAAAAATAGAGAATAATGGGGTGCTAAAATATAAAGAATAGAGAAATATGGACAAAAAATATAAAAAATAGAGAAAAAATTTGCAAACAAATTAAAGAATACAGAAATGAAGGACCTCCCTCCAGACCCTTATTTATTATGATAAACTTCTATTATAGGAGCAGATCCTACAATAGAGAATAAGAATGGACATAAACCAGTGGATTATGTGAAGAGTGAAAATGTCAGCCAAGTCCTACATAATGCAGAGAACAAAGTAAGGCCATTGAAAACAAATTTGATTTTCATCTTTAGGCCAAATGAAAATGTGGTTCCAGTTACCCAGGGTCAAAAGGTGGGGTGTAAACCTTTTGACCCTTGAACTTTTTTTTTGCTTTTCTGAAAAATAAATTTAAAACAATTCCATTAAGGCATTTTGTGGAATGTAAACTTCAATTCAATATAATTAAATTCACAGACTTCTGTTACCTTTTTTCCATAAAAATTTCCATAAAATACTGGAACCGGATTTTTTCCGGATCTTGATAAAGAAAAAAAAAAGAAAAATGTCCACTGACCAACTCTATTTTTTTCAGGATGCTACCTGAACCATACATATATTTTTATTTGGCTTTAATAAAATCTATGATTTCTAATGCCTTGCCTTTAAGAATAGGAATACAAATACTTTTTAACACCAATCATCAGCCCATAAAGGGCATGTTACATATAATGATTACATATTTTTAAAGCAGAATCTAATATGATTTAATATTGCATGTGGTGTAGCATTCTTCTTTTTTCATTGGTTATACGATCACATGATTCAAAGGGTATTCCATGTATCTGAAGCCTTGTCTATATTTTTAAGTATATGGATGCTATGTTTCTTTTTATATATATATTGACCGTCAATTTTAAAAATCGTGCAAAATATGATGTAAAATACACAGAAAGAACATTGAAATACATTTCCAAAATATACTAGTTACATATATGTAATATATAAATTGAGAACTTTCAATCAGTCAATACGTTATATATGGACCTGTTAGAATATATTGACCCTCAGACTTTTTATAAGCAATATTGGTCAGTGCATCTGTCTGATATTCCATTGGTACTATATTCCATTCGTCCCATTTTCCCATCCCATATCAGCTTCAAGTTTTGGTTAAGGGAGTTTATCACGAAGTTGTGGTCACATCATCTTGAAACTTAGTGCACATGGTTGTTATGATGTGAATTATTAAAATTATATAACATATTACATTTTAGACCTTGATTTCAAAATTCACTGAGCATGAAAATATGAAATTGCTAGCAGGGTATCATGTCAACTATGGACATGTATTCTTGTAATTACTGGTATAATCATTTGTGAAAAAAAATTTGGCAGGCAGATGTTTTCTACAATTTCAAATTTGTGCTATCAAAAGAATATAGCAGTTTAATCGGCTTAAAGTTGATGACTTTCTATGATGGTGTATAATTAGTTGCAAACTGCCTGTGTGTTTTATTACTGTTGACATACATTTTACCTGATTATGTCCCGAATTTCAGTTAAAAATGTTAAATTACTTTGTTATCGGCTCTTCCATGCATGAAATTTGCTGAAGTTTGATTATTGTGGATTTGTTGTTATGTGTGGGACACCAATATTTTTGGATTTTATGGGTAACTGTGAACTCAGCGTTTTGCATTTGTGCCGATCTGCATTTCACTTGCGCCGATTTTTTCTTTCACTTGCGCCGATTATTTCTTTCATTTGCGCCGATTGTTTTACAGGTAAATTACAGGTGAAAACTATTTTTATTGATCATTATAAACCTCTTCCGCTAGCCAGTTATACATATGTTATGAATTATCAATTAAAACATGCAGTAGGATTTCAAGCAAAACAAGTCAATTTTAAGGTTAAAAGCAATCTGTTTACATCCACTAAAATAACTGAGTATAGCAATAAAATATCAAATGATATAAAAATCTATTTACAGCCTTTAAAATATCAAAGGACAATAAAACCTCTTTACGCCATGAAAAAAGCACAGAATTAAAATGCAAAAAAGGAGCAAATGAAACTTGAAATTATTGAATCGGCGCAAATGACACAACCAAATCGGCGCAAATGAAAGATTGAAAATCTATAAAATCGGTGCAAATGTCATACGCCCCTGTGAACTATGAATTAATAGTTCAACAAAGTACAAATTTTTTAAAGGCTTGTTAGTTGTATGCAGACTTTGGCAAAACCATGAAATTAAATATCCATGAAAGTATAAGTTTTTCTCAATCCATGAAAAATTGGTGACCTTGAAAATAAATGAATCGATAATAATAGGTATATAATGTAAAGTTACAACAAAAAATCATGAACATTACAATTTTGTTAACCATTATAGACCATACTTACAGGTACTTGTTTAATACCTGTATTTTTAGTCCCCTACCGACGAAGTCGAAGGGGACTTTAGGTTTGCTCTCCGTCTGTCTGTCTGTCTGTCTGTCTGTCTGTCTGTCTGTCTGTCTGTCTGTCTGTCTGTTCATCCATCAGTCCGGCAAATCAGTTTTCCACACTTTTTTTCTTCATGCTTGAAGATATTGATTTGATATTTGGTGTATTGTTTTATCATGACAAGTTACAGATCAAGTTCGAATTTTGTTCTGGTCTAATGATTTTGTGCAGAGTTATGGTCCTTTGACTTGGAAAATTCACTAAAATAATCAATTTTCTGCACTTTTTTTAGCTCACCGGGGCCCGAAGGGCCCTATGTGAGCTTATGCCATCACTTGGCGGTTGTCGTCGTCCGTCGTCTGTCGTTGTTGTCTGTCGTCATCGTCTGTCGTCGTAAACTATTTCAAAAATCTTTTCCTCTGAAACTACTGGGCCAAATACCTTCAAACTTTAACTAAATGTTCCTTAGGGTATCTTGTTTATAAATTGTATCTTAAGTTTGTATCCATCGACAAACATGGCCGCCATGGCTAAAAATAGAACATAAGGGTCAAATGCAGTTTTTGGCTTATATCTCAAAAACTAAATCTTTTAGAGCAAATGTGACATGGGGTAAAATTGTTTAATTGGTCAAGATCTATCTGCCCTGAAATTATCAGACGAATCGAACAACCTATTGTTGGGTTGCTGCCACCGAATTGGTAGTTTTAACAAAATTTTGCAGTTTTTTGTTATTATTTTGAATATTATTATAGATATATATAAACTGTAAGCAGCAATAATGTTCAGCAAAGTAAGATCTACAAAAAATTTAATATGACCAAAATTGTCAATTGACCCCTTAAGGAGTTATTGCCCTTTAAAGACAATTTTACACAATTTGTTCATCAAATTTGCTAACATTTAAAAATCTTCTCCTCTGAAATACAGGTGAGCAATTCAGGCTCTTGAGAGCCTCTTGTTTGTCATTCTTGAAGATATTGATTTGATAATTGGTATATAGTTTTATCATGACAAGGTACAGTTCAAGTTTGAATTTTATTCCGGTCTGATGAATTGTGCAGAATAATGGTCCTTGGACTTAAAAAAATCACTCAAATAATAAGTTTTCTGCACTTTTTTTCTTAATGCTTGAAGATATTGATTTGAAAATTGGTATATAGTTTTATCATGACAAGTTACAGATCAAGTTTGAATCTGTTCCGGTTGGATGATTTTGTGCAGAGTTATGTTCCTTGGACTTAGAAAATTCACTTAAATGATCAGTTTTCAACACTTTTTTTCGTCATGCTTGAAGATAATGACTTGATATTTGTTATATAGTTTACACCATGACAAGTTATAGATCAAGTTAGAATTTTGTTCCAATACAATGAGTTTTTAACTGGTAGGGGACTATGTATTTCCATGCAATACTCACAGAATGTTTGTTGATATATTTTATTCCTTTATTTTTGTGGATCGAAGAAAGATTGTATTTGAGTCGAAATTTGATTCCATGGTTTTTCCAAAGTCTGCATACAGGACTATAGGAAATTTATACTTAGTTAAACATTTAAATTTCGTGGTTGATCTATACCCACAAATTCCATGGAAATGAGTATCTCACGGATATTGAATCTGCAGTATGCATTAAAAGGAAGAGTTGATTTTTTTGTCTTGTTAAAAATTGTTTTTTTTCTCTGCATGTTACAGTTCAATGAAGTGAAAGAAGCTAAAGAAGCAGAAGAGAGGAGAAAGTTTCCATTGGAACAGAGACTGAAACAGTTCATTATTGGTCAGGAGGGGGCAATCAATACAGTGGCTGCAGGTAGTTAGGACTATTCAATTAAAATGTATGTGGGAGGGAAGGATTTTCACATTCCCCATACAATGAAAATACTTTCTTAGAGTATTGTTCCATACATCAAATGGACATAAAACTATGAAAGAGAGGCTAAAGATACCAAAGGGACATTCAGACTCATAATTCGAAAATAAACTGAAAACGCCATGGCTAAAAAAAGACCAATAGACAAACAACAGTACACAAAACACAATATATTATATAAATGATGTATGACCCATGTATAAAATTGAGAATGGAAATGGGGAATATGTCAAAGAGACAACAACCCGACCAAAGAGCAGATAACAGCCGAAGGCCACCACTGTTATCACTTATTCATATCACAATCTGTTCAGTGTGATTAGATACATATATCGGCATGTAGGAGATAGATGATAGGGCACAACCATAAGAAAATGATAAGTTAAGGTGGTACATAACACTACAGGGAGATAACTCTCTAAAAATCAGCTGAACATTTTAATCACATTCTTTAGTTAAGGATGTTCGCTCCTCTTGTTTTTGAATTTTTGCCAGATATTCAGAATCCTCTGGTTTTATCAATGTAATGCCATTAAAAATTTTGCCCGCTAACCCCTACTTTTCTTTCATAATTTTATTACATATAGTTTTAACAGCCATATTTGAAAATCTTATAAAAACCTTGTTATTTTTTCATAGTTTTTGAAATAAAAAAGGTACTAATGTTAAATGCATGAAAAATCTAGAGAGAATCATTTCCCGCCAAATTTTCAATGGCTTATATACTCGAAAATAAGCACACAGACCCTTCATTTTTTTCTGCTTTTTTAGCTCCTTTATTTATATACTGTCAATTCATAACAGTCTTTTAAAAAGCTGGTTACTTTGAAACAAAGTAGCGAACATCCTTAAGGAAATATTAAGCTTCTCAATGATCAAAATCAGTGTTGTCAAACTGCTATATTTCCGATAGAGTGTGTGGTTCAATTTTTTTGAAATTTTGATATTTTTGTCTAAGGGTCAAAGTCAATATTTTGTCAAAATTTTATGAAAATTAAACGAGCCAAATTAATATAAGTCAAGGTGTTTCGTACCACCTTAATGCAATATAAATATGAATCATACTGTGAACTCATCAACATACTAAGCTCTGAAGGTAACAGTCTGCATATGGCCATTGAAAAAAGATAGATATTATAGATTCTCATCTCAAACTTCATCAATTTTAGAGCAAAAATAAAGATTTGAAAGGCTAGTGATACATGAACAATAGATAAAGTACTTAGACCACTTGTCCACTGAGGCCTCAAGCAAAAATACAAAATAGAAAAAAACAGTACAGAAAACACAAGCTCCAACAAAAAAACAAAAGGTGAAAACAGTGCTTTGGAAGGATACAATAAATAGCAGTTCCTAGTTATTAATTTTTCTTAACATTTACAATGAATATAAACAAAAGGATCTTCTAGTGACATTTATTGGCCTCGGTGGCAGAGTGGTCTAAGTAGTTACTACTGTAATCACTAGCCAGTCAACAATGAGGTTGTGAGTTCGAACCCCGCTCGTGTGGGTGCACTCAACTCCAATCTTAATTGACTAGCATTGTCAGTTTCACTATCGAAGGTCGGTGGTTTTCTCATGGCACTCCGGCTTCCTCAACCAATAAAAACTGGCTGCCGGAAAATAGCCCAAAAGTGGCGCATAAAAGTGGCGTTAAAACACCAACACTCAATCAATCAATCTAGTGACATTAGATGTTTTTCATGGAACAGCTTATGCATGTCACTAGTGAATACTATGTAAAAATAACACAACAAACTTTCATTTCAGCTGTAAGAAGAAAAGAGAACGGATGGTATGATGAAGACCATCCTCTTGTCTTCCTTTTTCTAGGATCCTCTGGTATAGGTGAGTTGTTCTTATCTTTTTAACAGAGTCTTGCCCACTAGAAGAAGTATTTCATACTTTACGTATGTTTCTAGCCTTTAGAACATACATGAAAAGACTTTGAAATAATTTTTATGTTTTCGATGGGATTTTTATGGTATGATTAAGTTTTGAAACCTTGTACACAAATTTATTTATAATGTGAACTTTTTAAATTTGGTGCCAAATTTTGGTGTTCATTTTTCACTGAATCTGGGATGTGATAGTGTGAAAGCTGTACATTCTCAGGTTTGGGTTAAGTTAGCCTTCCATTTAGTAGTGGACACATTAAAAAAGGGTCTGTATTATCCTTCATTTCTGTATTCTTTAATTTTTACAGTTATTATTCTCTATTCGTTATGTTTTTTGTCCATTATCCACTGTATACTTTATATTTTAGCAACAAATTATTCTCTTATCATTATTTTTTTTGCCCATTTATCTGTAGTGTTTGCACCCATTCCATGTAGTAAGTTATAGATGGCCCAGAAATCACAAAATGTAAAATAATTCAAGCATTATGATTTGTAACAAAAAAATTTCTTCAGGTGTAATACCAAGTCTTTGTTAAATTTGCACTTTTAAAAAATTGTGCAGAATTTATCTTTGTTTGTTTCAAATAAAGAAATACTTGGCATGAGTAAAGTTTTATCCTGTCCAGTACTACAGACAAAATTTTTATATAACATTTCATTGCATATAAGATAATAACCATCACTGGAAGTTAACCAATCAAATTTTCACCCCTATTTTCCTGTGTACAAGCTTTAGTAACCATGTAACCTCAAGTTTCCAAAATATTCTATAGAAACACCAAATAAGAAAAATGGTGTGGTTGATCATATTTTACTATCGTTTTGATTTGACCATGAAGCATGAGTTATTAGGTTTACCTTCAGGGTCAATTGAACTTTAATGACACTTCATGTATGTATAAGGTTTTCTTTGATTTTTTCAGGCAAAACAGAACTAGCAAAGCAGGTAGCAACATACCTACACAAAGATCCTAAAAAGGTAACATGTTTTGAAACAAGTCACTTCTTGTTCTCATCCCCGGCCCAAAAGAAAATTTTGAAAAAAAAAAAGTTATGAAGCCTTATCTTATGACCAATTCTTTTACTTGTATTTATTTATGATATGTTAAAGTGCATGAAGCCTTTCAGTTTATTGTTCATAGAACTTTAAGTAATTTTTCATGATTAAGAATAATAAAAAAATAAAAATTTTGTGGCCCGATTGCCAATGACACAACTACCCACCAGAGACAAAATGAAGTGGAATTAAGAACCTATTAGTCATTGTACAGCCTCAGACAATGAGCAAATAGATATAGGAAGATGTGGTATGAGTGCCAATGAGACAACTCTCCATCCAAGTTACAATTTATAAAAGTAAACCATTATAGGTCAAGGTACGGCCTTCATCACGGAGCATTGGCTCACATCGAACAGCAAGCTAACCCACATCAGCTATAAAAAGTCACAACATGTAAAGCAATTCAAACGTGAAAACTATCTGCCTGATTTACGACAAAACAATAAACACGAACAAATATAATATACAGTAATCAATGAGTACCTCTGAATAACTGGCTCCTGACTTGGGACATATATGTTTGTCTTGTTGTTTCAATTTACTGTTTTTTTATTGTTCCGCATGTAATGAAAGTCTCAGAATACTAAACATGGGGATTCCAATCTGGCGAGGGAAACAGTGGCCATTGCGACGTAAACAATTTGTACAAAGCTTTATATTTTTAGAAGCTAGAAGACCTGAATGCTTCCTACCTTGTATTCAGATACCTTATGTTAATAAGTTTCTGTCTGTCATATGTCCATTGTTTCTGACCTCATTTTCATGGTTCAGTGACTGCTTGAAAAAAGATGACTGGTGTTTTTTGGGTTTTTTTAAGTGAAATTCTCTCATTTTCTGAGTAATAGGATAACTGTTTTTGGTATATGGGTTCTGTCAGGTAGGGTTCATGTGACCATGACCTTATTTCATGGATCAGTGATCAAGGTTAAAGTTACATGGTCAAGTATATATCTTAGATATTATAAGCAGAAGGTCATCTATATTTAGAGTATGGAATGATTGTAAGGTGTACATGTACAACTGACAGGTTTTATCTGACCTTGACATCAATTTCATGGTCCATTGGTCAATGTTAAGATTTCCTTGTTTGAACTGTTTCTCAGGTACTATAAGCAATAGGACCACTACATTTTGGGTATGGAATGATTGTTAGGTGTACATGTTTGTCTGGCATGGTTCATCTGACTGTGATTTCATTTTTATCGATCATTGATAATGTTAAGTTTATGTGATATTTGCAGTAAAATCCTTCATATGATAGACTTTCAACATGAATTCAATCATACGTAAAACAGGCGAGACATTTCAGTGTGTCCACTGCTGTTCCTATTTTAAAAGAGATATATTAATTAAATCATTTCTGAAAGAAAACAAAGCTCCTGTGGTTAATCCCTAAATAGACAATAAACAAAAAGAGCGACAACCATTAATTAAATATCTGAATAATGACACTTAAGGAAATTCTTGTGAAAAAAATATATTAAGAAAATATATTCATTTTTCTTTGTAGGCTTTTATTCGAATGGATATGTCAGAGTATCAAGAAAAACATGAGGTTGGTATTGAAGAAGATCTGGATGTCTATCATTTCTTGATTTGTTTACTTTTTAAACCATTTTCTCTGTTCTTTAATTTTTTACCTTTATTTATTTTAGGGCCTATTTTTCTCTATTCTAAATATTTTTGGTCATTTATCCTGCTCTTTTTACCCATTATTCTCTAATCTGTAAACCACATCCAGACCAAGGATCCGGACATTTTTTCACACAAATTCGGTCATTTTGAGAGGATTGAAAAGTTGGAGCCCCTTTTCAAATTGTTGATGTCAAACTACATTCATAGCATCAACAAACTTGTATTGCTGTTTCAATCACATTTACTAAGTAAAGTTCTTACCATTTTTCTAAAAAACTTCAAGAACAGTTTAAGGAAGGCAACAGTTTAAAATTGAAATGATTTTAAAGACTCAAAATGGTTAATTTCTCAGACATTGCTAACATTTCTTTCGATTTGACAAAATTAAAACAGGAAGTTTTGCGATAATATTAAAGAGCAAATAATTCCGGATTCATTTCCGAGATTCGTTTTGTTTACCAAATTGACAGGAAATCACCGGCTTTTTAATTTATTACCTTTAAAAGTGTTTGAATATAACAGATAATCATTGCACTCGTTTAATTTAGTATGAAATCAATTTTACATTTTACGATTAAATATTTGATTTGCTGAAGACAATTTCACACATGCCTATTATATAGTAAATAAAGCACATGTGTTACTCGTGAAAAAATATACTTTTTTCTATGGAAATTAAATTAAGGTTTAATTTTTAAATCAGAATTGATGATTGTCTTTGCTGAAAAGTAATTGAATAATGAATACACTTGTCATGGAATTTTAATTTCTTTAAAATATTATTCTGAGCTTGTGATCAATGTCAGGTGTGAATTAAAAGCACAGGTAAAAAAGGATTAGCGATCATTTAATAGCCAATGTTTCCCGGAGGCATTCATATAGTTATTAGGAGGGCCCTCAGGATTATCAAACTATACTGGAGTGGCAGTTTTATTACAGGAAAGGGATTATAAACAAAAACAAGTGACCACATGTGCAAAATGGCTATTAAGAAACCCGATTTCAAACATTGAGTCAATGAAATGACCAAAATTATTTCTGTTAAAAAAATAAGATTTGTCCTAAATCCCGATTACTCGTTTAGGACATTTAGCTTTCAGTTTTGGACATGACTGGCAAACATGACCGTTTCCGGACCCTTGATCCAGACCCTCATTGACATATCTGGTGTTTTTTTTGGTGCTCGTATTATGGTATGACATTGTCGGCATTGTCATCCAAAAACATTTTGTTTCTAGACAATAACTTGAGTATAAGTGTATGGATCTCTATGAAATTGTACCACAAGGTTCAATACCACAAAAGGAAGATTGGGATTTGGGGGTTATTGTCTTAACTGTTAGGAATAAGGGGCCAGAAACAAGCATTTGTCTTGTTTCAGGACAATAATTTGTGTATAAGTCAATGGATTTCAATTGAATTGTACCAAAAGGTTCCATAACTTAAAAGGAAGGGATTGATTTTGGGTTTATGGCCCTAACCGTTTATGAAAAAGGGGCCAAACCAATACTTTTTCTTAAACTTTGAATAAATTGCTTATTTCTTGACCAATTTCAATGGTGTTTAATTCAAAGTCTTGAATTCTTAGGGTTTTTTAGTATGCTGAATCCTTGTATTTAGGTTTTAGATTTTTGGGCCCTGATTTTAATTTGGTCCACATTGAGGTCCAAATGGTCCAAAATTAAACTTTGAATGTGGTGTTCATACTTGTCTAACTGTTTAGGGTTCAACCTGTGCTGTCGTATCAAGCTGTGCCCTGCAGAGCATTTTACTTACATCTGTCATCCTTTCTCATTCATTTATAAAAAACCTTGTCTTGGTTGTATGATATCATAAAGGTTGTACCCCACAATAACAAGTTCGACCCTGAGTAGTCAAGGACAGCAAAAAATTGTGACCTAACAATATCAAGTTTGTGTCTACATTTTCATTGTAGCCTCATAATTTTTGTATGCATAAATTGTAGTTTATCAACTGTTTGATACTATTGGAATTTTTTTTATAATAGCTGATTTGCTTCGTATTTCAAATTTCATAGTTTTTATGTACTGTATACCAAAAAAAAACAACCCCAAAAATCTAAGAGAAGATGGTTACTTGGATTTTCACCTATTTGTTAAGAAAATAATGGGCTTTTGCATCTGAAATATTCGCTGATTTGCCATAGTTAAATTTATGCCTGGTGCAAATAACTTGTTATTTCTGGTCCAGGGAAATTAGGCATAAATATAACAAAGGCTCTGTTTTATGACGTCGAGGAAGATGCTGGTTTTGTCAGCGTCTAGAAAAATTGTACACTCTACAAAATAAGCCAGATGAGGGAGAAATTTCTTATCTTAAACCACTTATACATTGATCATAAATTACTGATAAATTTGTCAGCATCTAATTAAGTAGCCACACATTACATGGATTATATTTCATATTATAACCCAAATCTTTAAGGATAGGGTTTCCCTCTAGGTATTTTTATCTCCAGTAGTTAGATGATATATTTATAGTCACAAAACAAAAGATTTTGAAAGAATGGTTTCCTGAAGATGAACTTAATTAAGGTAAGAATTTATAATTTTATCCAATTAGCAATACTTTAGATTTTTATTTTTTTTTCAAAAATATATATTAATGGGTCTTCATAATGTAAAGATATCTGCAAATACATATATGAAATATCTATTTAAAACTAGAATACACATATATTTTCAACTAGAATAAATTGATATCTTTCTTAACTTATTAATACTGTTCCTAAAAGGTAGATTTTTACATCTTTATACAATATTTTCACTTTTTAATAAATTATGAACTTCACTTAAGTGATTTTAATTTCATTTAATACCTCTAACAAATCATTTTAGAATACTTTTTGGTTTTGATTTGTAGAAATATGTCCAAATTTAAAGACTTGTATACCTTTAAAGAAGAAGGAATTGCAGATAATCTACTATACATTGACCAGTTCTACAGCTTCATAAAAGAAAGAGTAACTTTAGATGATAAATATAAAATAAATCGACCAAATTTTGTAAGGGAGTTTAAAGGACAAAGAAGGCATTAAATCCCTGAGTCATGGTAATGCTATTACTATTTCTTCAGCAGTCAGATACATTTTCAACCACTTTGATGACTACCGAATTTGTCACGAAATTGGACTGCAAATATCAAATACAGCATTTAACAGCCAGTCAACAGAGCAAACTAAAACACTGTTTTCTTTGTATAAAGCCATATCTGAATTTGACACGAAGCAAATAACTTTGAAACTTAACGAGAGGTTGGAAATAGATGATACAAATTCCTGTATACCATCTATTGAAAATACTTACAGAACGGATTTTTCAGATTTTCAATGGAAAAAAATATGTATTTTCGAAAACTACTACAGTAAATATGTTGCATCTACTGACGACCATTATGAAACTGCATTAAAACAGAAATGGGAGACATTTGAATATTTAAAGAAAATTACTTCAATGTCAAGGAACTTTGAAAAACTGAATAAAAGTACTATTAAAGCAAGAACAATAAGACAAAAGGTATACGAACATTCCCAAAATATCTTGGTATGGACAAGAAAGAAACACTTTCCTGCTGTCATTGAATAACAACTGATGAAAAAGTTTGATACCATTAATCCAGACATAATATTTCCACCTGTATGTGTTGACACACCTCAATCTATTGAGACAAACTCAGTTATGCTAATTTTTTCGTGTATAGAATTTGAAAAATATGAAAAATACACTAAGATTGCCACAAATTTTCTACAGAATAAGCATCACCTAAATGCTAGTCAAATCACCTTTGTATCACCAGAGACACTTGAAAATTACAGACGTCCAAACAACGGAATCGCACGATTTCATTTAAGGGACGATTTGCTACAGGGGAAACTTGAAAATGACATCATTCAAGTATTTCAGCCGGCAAGTCAATCCTTTGATAGAAATGAGTCCAATGAATGTGATGCCTGCTTTAATCATTGTGATTTGGTAAAACCACTATCTTTACATCACTTTGAATTATTGCAAGAATGGTTTCTAGATATACCACTTGATATACAGATTATCTTGGACAAGTTTATAAATAGAGACTCCTTTTACAGCAGTGGGGACAAAATAGCCTTCTTGCTTTCTAAAATGGAAAGATTGTATGGAGCCTTTGACATACTTCTCAACACTTTCAACAAGAACTATATTGGTATACTCCAACAGGCCAACACTGATGAATTAACAATGCATTTTCAAAGCATAACAACAGTATTTTCAATCGCTAGTAATACAGGTATCTCTACGAGTTTGGTGACAGCAGAAAAGAAGATAAAGGAAAAAGCTACAGACGACCTGTGTTACTACAATACTTACTTAAAGAAATTTCCCTTACATTATCAAACAGCTACAGGTATAGCAGATCAATTAGTAAACCTTAGAGACTGCCACCTAATACTGATGATGGATAACCTAGTTCGGATGACTTTCCGTTCTGATCCTAATCCTGGAGAAAACAGATCAGGACAACTATGCACACTGCCTTTAACATTGCAAGGTTTACCAAACGACAGTTCAGTAACAGATTCATGGCATACTACAGACTGTTTAAAAGATCAGAACTGTCAGTGCAAGAAAGACATCAAACTGAAAAAGGAAGATTTTGATAATGCATTGGTATCCTTAACCAACGAGGAGACAGCTTGTTGGGAAAGATTTCAGAAGCTATTGACATGGGGAAGTGTACCCTTATGGAAAAAACTAAGAACAAGTAAGTTTTTTTATATAAAAGTACACATATTTTGTAGTTATCAATTGATTGATTGATTGGTGATTGCTTTACGCCGCATCAGCACAGAAAAGCTATATCGTGGCGAAGTTATCAATTGAACTCAAGAAAACCTAAACAAAGGATATGAAATTGTTATAAAAG